GCAGCTGCGCGGGTGGGACGGGCAGGCTGCCTGCCCCCGGCGACCAGCGCTGTCTCCTGTTGTTCAAGGGTTCCTCTCACCTGCCGCAGCAGCTGAAGTTCACGACCTCCGACTCCTGCGACCGCATCAAGGATGAGTTCCAGCTCCTGCAGGCCCAGTACCACAGGTACGTGCTCCCATGCGCTGCTGGGCCAGGCCCAGCTCTGCCCCGCAGCCTCCACTGGGCTGGCAGGCGGCGGCACGCCACGCAAGAATCGCTCCGATTCTTCTGCTTCGTTGCTTCGCTGCACTGCACGGAATGCCAAGGAGGGGACCCAGTCACGTAGCTTGGGTCACCTTTGGCTAGAGGAGGACCCGAGTCAGGGGATTAGTCGTGTCCACTTGGGAGCCCAGCAAGGAGAACATGCATCTTCCCTCTCCAGCCAAGGTCTTTCCTCTGAGCACTGCTTGGCCAGGACCGTGCGGAGGCTTGCCAGGCCTCCCATGTCTTGCTGGGAGTTTTCCTCAGTTCTTCTCACTGGCTGCCATTCTTGGACAGCGAATGCTGCATGAAGCACTTAAATCCAAAAGCTTCCGCTTTTGTGCGGGTGTGTGTGGAAATACTTCTGCTGACCCAGAAGCTGGCTTGTGACAGTCTGTTGCTTTGTGTGTGTGCATGTCTGAAATAAATGTGAAGCTCTTGGGTTAAATCAACTGGGTGATGCCCTCTGCCACGGCCTGGCAGGCTGCGAGGCACTGGTTGTGGCGCATGCCTTGGTGCCATGCGGCTGCAACTTCCCTGTCTGCCTTCCCCCAGCCTGGACTCTGCTGGGCGGCTGGGTCACAGGTTTGCGGTGGTGTCGTTCTGGCAGGAGCAGGCAGAAAAACTGCTGGGAAATGGCTGTTTCGTGGTGTCTCTGTGTCTCTGGGCAGTGCCAGCAAGAGAGTAGGGGAGCCCAAGAAACATGCCTGCTGGAAGGGAGGCTGTCCCCCCACTCCACCCCCTTGGACTTAATCTGCTCAAGAAGAAGCAGGTTTTGTGTAGGTGAAGCTGTTTCTTGTTTGAAACATAAAACGGCAGCACATGCCAGCTGCAGTTGCTCGGCTGGTGAGTTGGAGTCTCATAAAACACTGGGAGCAGCAGCACTTTCTCTGAAGGGTGTGAAGAACCTAGGGGAGAGAAAAAATCCTTTCTTCTGGAGTGATGTGCTGCACTTGGCCTCCCCCCACCATCCAGAAATGGATCTGGCTTTGGTTTTGAAGTTGTATTGGAGCATCTCGAGTGCTGCAGACAGGCCTGTGCTAGAAGCTGTCCCCAGCTGCCAGCAATCAGCTGAGGAAAGACAAACCCTTCCCTGGGCAGCCACCTCTGTTTCT